CACACACACACACACACACACACACACACACACACACACACACACACACACACACACACACACACACACACACACACACACATTTCCTCAGTTACAAACACAGTTGATATTCTACAGTAGTTTTGCTGCGAGGCCACACACACATAATCATATAGTCAATTTGGCTTGGCACAAAGACCTAATGCCTGGACCTCGTGAAAAAATGAAAACGTTGTATAAATGTTTTCCCCAAATGCCGACACACTTTCAGTACAGAATAAAGACACATACATGTTGGGAAATGAGAAAATACAGCTCATTTGTTTTGGCTAAATCATAAAATAATGCTCCTGTTTCTCTTTTGTTAATGAAAGATCAGGCTTTATGTGACATTAGTTTTGTGCCAATGTTGCCCTGCTGATTCCACATTCTTTAGCTAAGCAGATTTATTTTCCCTGAGTTTTTCAGTAAAGGCACTTTAGGTACATAACTACAGTTTGGCTGTCAGGATCCCCGTCTGGCCATCTCTCTGGAGCCAGACCTGTCTGTCTCTGCGTCTGTGAAGCCTTTCCACCCTTCATGGCCTTTGTGTTTCCCACAGATATTCAAGCATTCAAGTTTCCTCTCGGGAGCCCGGTGCTGTCAATCAGAACCATGGGATTAAAAAAAAGGCCCCGCCACCGTTCCTGGGGAATTTTCTTTTTTTCAATCTTTCTTCAATCCGACCCCAACAATACGGACACAGACACCCTAACCCCGGCTTCTAAAGACAGGGCAGGTAGTCATTAGGGATGTCGTGCCCTGGTATGTGCGTACCTAAATGTAGCAGTACCTGCATGTCCGTGCCTAAATACTTGTGTTCAGTGTCTGTGCACGAGTGTGTAAGTCCAGACATGCGACATCACCACATCTTGACACATGCCTAAAGGTATGGGGCCTTGCGTGTGACGTTCTTTGTCCTGCTCTGAAAGTCCCCAGCCAGCCAGTAATCACTTCAAAGGAGACAGGTCAGCAGAGAGGTGAACTCATACAGCCTCCTGTCCACCCTACACTTTTCTTCTCCCCTCCACATTTATTGTCCCCTCTACTTCTTCTTTCTTCTCTCACATCTCAGCTCTCTCCTTAAAAACCTGTTTTGTGGATTTGACTACCTGTGGGTTGTTTTTTCCTGAAAATCTGCGTGTATATACACATTTTGGAGTTTTATTTTAAACAGTACCTAAAGGAATTATGTAGCTTATAAAATATTATCAGAAAATCGATTACTCCCCGCGTGTCACTTTTCAATTTTTAAGATAGTCGGTATCTTTTTTATACGATCGCTCCAAGAGGAACAAAGCATCTAAAAAAGTAAACTCCTTGATCAAATAAAGTAAACAAGGGTCCCATTTAACAACAGCTAAACTATATCCAAACATCCTTTTACAAACTCACAACTGCAGTATGGTCACTACTTCCTAAATGCATTTCCACTAAAACCATTGTATTTTATGGGCTCAAGAAGGAGTAAATTGCCTGTGCAGGTTTGCATGGGAAATGGGAAATGGGAAATGAAGTGCTTAAATAATAAACCTGGCTTATTTAAAACGCAAGATAGATGATGCATGGAGTCACTAAAGACGCTATCAACTCTACAGCATGCCTATATTTGACATTACACATGCGTACTGACCTCGGTAAAGGCCGAAGAGGCCCTCGTAGCGCACCACCTTCCTGAAGCAGTCGAAGCTGTTCTTGTACATGAGCTCTCCCACCAGGGAGCCGCTGCCCCTCTGGTTCTGCATGCGAGTCTTCACCAGATCAATGGGGTACACTGCTGTGGCCCCCACAGCTACAGAGAAATAGAACATGGTTATTTAGATACTGGTCATGTTGTTTATTCTTCATACATGTATTCACACAGGTGATTTGTTCACACAGTTATGATCGACACCATCGGTTTATCTACAATTGTATCCCCCCCCCCTTACTTTCTTGTGTTTTCCAACAGTAATATAGTGAAGTGAGTAAAGAGAAGAGAATGTTGTTAGGCTCATATTGTGTTTAATGATAATAACTTTAAGCCTACATTGAAGAATGACCTGTTTGAAGTGCCATTAGAGGTGTAGATCAAATTAATTCAATAAAAACATACACCAAATCATGAACAGAAGGCATTCGCTATGTTGAAAATAGCACTTCATGAGAAATGTGTGCAGTTACAGCCTCAGTTTGAATTCTTGTTCAAACCGTATAGAAAGAAGTAATAGAGTCGCTGTGAGCATCACAAACACATTTCAGATTACTGGCTTACAATGGGGTGGCAAACAAACAAAAAGCAGTTAACTCTGCTCAAGACCATTGGAGAGAGGTGAGAACATATGTCTTTGTAATTCGGTTGTGTTGACCCTTTAAAAAGGAAGAGGAGGTAAAGGCGGAGGAGGAAGGGGAAGTCTGTGGAGTTGGGGTTAAGAAAGACGTGGAAGTGTTTTGATTTCCAGTGTCTTTGGCCCTTCAGACGGACACAAACAAAAAGAACCGACCCAAGGCGACAGACTTAATTAGAGAGAGGCTGAGGCAGAAGAAGGGATGGCGGACCCGTACCTCCTTATTAAGCTGTCTCCCTTGGGATGGAAGGAGGAGGAATGAAAGAAGGGAGGGAGGGAGGGAGGAGTGGAAAACAGTGGGGAGTCTGAAGCCAAACACAAGGCCTAGGCACCACCCGTCACCCCCACCCTCACCTCCCTCTGATCACTCACACAGGTACAATAGAATCCACTCAGAAGGGTTTTCCCAGAGAGGCGAGGGACGGGAGAGAGGATGGTGAAGGGCGGGAAAGAGATAGAGAGAGAAGGAGGGCAGCAACCGTTGCTCTTGTAAGCAAGGGGAAGGGCAATAGAGGGGCCATTGTTCCCTCTCTCTCTCTCACCTTTTTCTTATGAGAACAGCAGAGGGCGAAGAGGGGTGGGGGGGGGGGGGGGCAGGTAGACACGCAAGCAGGTAGGTGGGGTGAAGGTATGCAGGGAGCCAATGGGGCGTGACTCTTACCCCCTGCCACCGAGCCAAGGGAGAACCTGTAGGCCGACTCTGCCACCTGGGTGATGATGGGCCGGGAGACGTCACCGCCCAACTGCTGCTCACACAGCGGGGGGGAGACAGGGGAGACAGAAGACACCATGATTTAATAACAGAGAGACATGACACTGTTTTAGTAATGAATTTTTCTCCACCAATCCAAATGCACTACAATACTTTTTCTTACAAGACATTGGACGCCACAGATCTGATTCCACCACAGGCTAAATGAGCTGTTTAATCTATCAGTGGTCACACCTGCTCTAAAGTGTTGGAGAGAATGTCCCATTTTCATGATGGACATTTAAAACAGTAAAATGGTCAATTAATATAACCCTGCAGACAAGAAAGAGTATAAAGCGTGTTGAATATATGAGTAAGCATGTGTTTTTTGATAAGTGAGAGTGCACAAATACACAAATAAAGATGATGTGATGGCAGAAAATGGTGAAATGAATACCAATCATTACTTCTCATAACTTGAGATGACGTCCTTATGACTCTTAATAACTCTGAAAGCAAAACAAGACAATATTCAAATTGCAGAATTATTTTTTGGACAGACTAATCAGCTAATAAACAAATAATTTCAGGATTAGATCAAATAACTAAAGAAAGTGACAAAAATCATAGGTAAATTATTATTATATTTCAAATCGTCAGTTAGTCAAATTGGAAAGTACAAGATACCATTAATGAAATTAAAATGGGTCTACTTGTGCACTTGAATATCTGTTATGTATCTTGAGAAATACAGAGATATTAAGCAGTCTTAGTTTTAGATAGCTTTCTCTGTCCTGGCCGAGTATAATATCTTTTTTTATCCCAGAGTTTATTTCAGATGTTATAATACTTCAGAAAAATCTTTCAAAAATCAGTTAATAAGGACTTTTTTCCAATAAACATACTCTTTACTCTACCTAAGTTCAAATATATGCAAAGCTTATACCATTGGTTAATCAGTTGCCAGTCTCAGAGAATTCCCCATGCTTAACTAAGAACTGGTCTAGTCTGTTGTGTGAAGGCATGTAAATCAAATCAAAGTGATCTTAGTGCACCCTTGTTATCATCACCATCATGTGCAAAGAGCAGAAGAGTGTTAGTAGCCAGCATTAACCACACAGTAACATTAGCCACGCTCCCCCTCCACCTGAGGTACCTGTTGCCTTGTCTGCTCTGCCCGGGTCTCGACCCTGGGGAGAGGGGGGGTGGAGAGTTGTATGTATGTATGTGTGTGTGAGTGAGGGGGATGGGAGTCTATAGAACAGGTCCACCTGTCAGACTCAACTCCCACCCAAAATGTATTCTTGAAACACAACCTTCTCCACTTCTACCGTCCTGCTCAGCGCTGTCTGCAGAGGGAGGACTGGAGAGAAACACTGGATGTTTGAGGGAGAAGGAGGGAACAAGTTAACAGAGAGAAAATGCATACCGACAAACATGTAGAGAAATAAGTTAGAGGGAGAGAGAAGTAGATCAAAAAAGGAAATGGAGAGAACTAAGGATGAGGAGAGAGAGCTCCAGCTAGCTGCCGGCCAGCCCCTGAGGCCAAACCACAAGGGCCTAAAGTGGCTCATTGTGGTGGGACTGGCGTCTGTGTAGTGCTGGGCCCCTTTGCGTTCTCCCCTTTGGCCCCCGCCTGCTCCAATATGGCCTGGCCAAGCATTCACTGTAGAGCTGGAACCCACCAGGCATCAAAACTCAGACCGGGAAGGAAAACAGTCAAACTCTGCTCATCTGTCTGGCTGTCCGTACGTCCCCCTTCCTCCTCTTCATTACAAATTGCTCTTGTCAGCTGCTGCAAAGTCTCTGCACGTCTATTATTTTTGCACTGTAAAGGATTTTAGAGAATGATTAGGCCTCGAGGATGGATCTGCTTGACTTTATCTCTCTGGATTTATGAGTTGTGTCTGGTTTCTTTTGTAAGACATCAACCACATGTCAAGGAGAGGTCTAGAAGAGTTTTCTCTCATAAAAAAGCCTCTGTAAGTCTATGATGGAAAGTTACGTGGAGACAACTTGGTCCAAACCTTGTTATGAACTTTTGAAAATAAGCAGTACTGACAGGTTTTGGGGGCAAACGTACTGCTCTATATCTGGCAAAAGTTGTTTGCATTTATAGTGTTTAATTTACATACACGCAAGTCTTTAATATCTCAATTAATGAATTGTGTATTTCTGGCATCAAACACATGTTGTGTTTACGAGGGATTCATTACGAGTGAACAGGAGATATCATTATCCTTAATTATAAATCTGCATGGTGACATCTAGCCCCAGAGAATGTATTGAGACGCAAAAAAGAGCTGCCCTTGTGGAAGAGGAAACCAAACACATCAACAAGTCTTCATATGCTGTACCTGTCTCTGGACCTCGGCCAAGTTGTAGGGCAGGGCGCCTTCCTCCAGCGGAGCGATCTGCTCAATGTCCACTAAACCAACACGTCTGATGAGGAGAGGGAGAGGAGAGGTTTCAAGTAACTTTCAGAGGTTGTAAAAACTCTCAGAGGAATACATTATTTCCCGATACATCACCATGTCCATGACCTTTGGCAATGCTAACTGTCAGTCTGAAGTTACTCGGATACTTTGCCATCATTGAAAACATTGTGGCATTCAGAAATCTACGCCTGTGCTTGGCATGATTGAGCTAGGCAACTGATCTATAGGAACTGACGACTCCCAAGTACAACAAAGATATTTAACCTTTGGATGTAATACTGCTGCCTTTCCTAGTCTTTCCATTGCATTTCTCACTGGCGATCCCAGATTTCCCAGGCTGAGGGAACCGGGAGCGCCAAAATCCGCTCCCACCCCTCTCGTCTGAATATTGGGGCTATTATCTCTTGCATCTCCAATCAAGGAGAGTGGAGAGGGCTATTAAAGTATCCCATTGCCCAGAAATAATAATCAGGTGGCGTCTCAGGCCGGGGTTAGGAATTATGAGTGCGCTGGTTGGGCCGCGAGGCAGACGCAAAGGAAGTAGGGGAATGTGAAACGCATACAGTTGTTGTGTGCCACGGATCATAGGGCCTGGATTGCCCTTTTGTCTTAAATAAATGGGAGTTTGGATTGGTTTTGGACTGAAAGAGGATTCTCTGCCACTGATGTAGTCATGTCTGATTCTTTTGATCCTTTGCAGAGGAGTTTGAGAAGGAAGAAAGCGCTTGTCTCTCTGAGGTATCGACCCTGGGGCTAAAAGGTGCGCCATGGGGGGAAAGAGCGGGATAGACTTACAACTCCCCGACTGACTGAGTAAAACATTTAATGACTTAAGTATGAATTCAGTTGTGAGTAAAAAATAGATTAAATGCACATATTTGCTTGGCCTTCATATACACATTACTTATGATTATTTCCTCAGAGATTGTATTATCCACCCCTAGATTACATTAAATAGAAAAAGGAAGTCATACCACAGATACATTATCAAAATTGAGGTATTAAATCAAAGCTAGTATACTGTGTGTGTGTGCCTCTTTAAAGATATGTGTGTAGGTGTGTGTGTGTGTGTGTGTGTGTGTGTGTGTGTGTGTGTGTGTGTGTGTGTGTGTGTGTGTGTGTGTGTGTGTGTGTGTGTGTGTGTGTGTTACCCTCTGGGATCTGACAGGTCAGCCAGCTGAAAGAGGATGTTGACCTCCATGGGTGTCACCTGACCGAACCTCTGAGCTGCCACAATAAACTCCTCTGCAAAGAAAGAGAACATTTGTTTTTTTACATTTTTACAAAAAACAACAGCACCACACTTTAAGATACTGATTACAGTATGTTACAGATCAGATAGAAAATAAAAACAGGGAATAAAAGTAATATATTAATAAAATACAAATATCTCAATTCTAAATCATTGCCAGTTCATGTTGGCAGTGCACTCAGCAGATGTTTCAACAGCCAGGGTTTTTTTTCTCCTCAGCTACATCCTCCAGCTCAGCCTGGGGGATCCCCAGGTATTCCCAGGCCAGATGGGATATGTATAATTCATCCAGTGTGTTCTGGGTCTGGGGACGTCCACGGCGAGGCACAAAGGGAGCATCAGGATCAGATCCCTGAGCAACTTTAACTGCCTCCTTTCAAGGTGGAGAAACCGCAAACTCTGAGCACCTTCTGAATGTATCAGATACAAGCTCAAAGCTCAGGGACACTGGTGCAGCGATGTCAAATCACAGGTGACTCCAGAGCCTCAGTTCCCATCTCACTATTACATTACAAGGGTAAAATATCCACAAGACCTTGGATCCTTCGTGTGGTGCGTATATATAGTTAAAAAAGACAAAGGTCTACAAAAGTATGCTGTAAATATGTTGATGAAACTGGATAAAAAGTCTGACTAATGACAGCTTCTGGCAGACGACCCCAACACTGACGCATGTGTAAAGGAGAAACGTCATCATTGAAGACAAACAAATGAGACAGACAGTTACCGTGATGTGATTAGAATGATGGATTTCTCTAGGTTGGAAAATTGTTGGACATGTTTGTTATAATGAAAGTACACAACTCAACAAAAATATACACAATAGATATTATAATTTGGAAATGTCACATACTATTCTTTCAACTCAAGGCATTTGGCCTTTTTCCAGACATAGATTGTGGAGGTGCCGAAAAGCCTGCTGCACATCTGGCTTCAAACTGCCCCAGTGAATGCCAGGTCATGCCCTGATGGAGCCAACATGGCTACATCACCAGCAAAGAGCAATAAAAATGAGACGTAACAAAGTCGAACAATCAACTCTTTGGCTGAGCTGTGGGATTCAGTCCATGACAATTACAAACAGAATAGAGGAACAGCCTGAGTGGAGCCCAGATCTCACTGAGAACATGTTTGACCCATTTCATAACAAGGACAGAATGTGTATTGCTTCTCCTCAATAAACTGTCATTTCCTATTTCCATAATATTAGGGACATGGCAAAGGAACTTGACATCAATTTAACGACTTTGGTTGGTTTGTCAAGGCTTTAAAAGGCAGTAAGGAAAATGTAGGCCTGGGGCAAAAATAATTGTGTAATGCAATAAACTGCAGTCCACAGACAACAACCTGTTGCAAAAGCATCAAAAAATGCCTTCTGCTTTTAAAACTTCAAATTGTCTTTGTCATGCTATATTTTCACGACTGCTATAGTAGGTACATGTCAAACTGCCATTTCATCATGAAACTAAGTTAAATAAGTAGTGCTGAGCTGAATGAATCACCTACACACAATCTGTTTTCACAAAGAAAATCAGTTTCCTCTGACTGACATCTCTTTTGTTCTCATCCGATTCATATTTCCATTAGCCTCATTAACTCAAAATCATCAATCAATATCATGTTACAAACAACGCACCAAAATATGATGACAGAGTGGGAATTTGGAAAGTTACAGCCATTATGATGGGAAATACGCCTAAAATAAAACCCAATTCAAGATACATTCATATTCTTTGTTCTGTACCTTTAATTCAATATCATTGCATTTCTGTGTTAACCAGCAAAAGATAGGCTAGCTACTTGTAAAGCCATGACAGGTATTTCCATCTAAACGCAGATAAATGGCAAGTTACATAATGAACACTAGTTCATGCCCCGCGGTAAAAAGCTGCATTACGTTCTTTTCACTTCCATCACTAGAGGAAACATTCATAAAGGAATTGTTATCCGGGACTTATCGCTTATATCAGTTTTAGACTTCACTTTTTGTACTTTACCTTGTGTGACTTTGTTGGAACTTTAATGGCTGAAGTGTCAAAGCATGTTAAATTTATCATAAGAAAAAGAAAACTGAAAGTATGGCAACGCAGAGTTCTTCTGAGGCAGCTTTAGTATGGCGTAACTTAAGACCTGGTGTATTGTCAGTGGAATAAAGAGCAGGTTGACTGTAGGCTGGCTTACAGTGGAGGAGTCAGCATTGTTTGACCTGCTTTATTCAAAGAGCAGCAGGCTGGGGTTGTGACAAAGTCGTCCTACACTGGAGCCATTCACCCGCCGAGGCTCAGCTTACCCCTGAGGCATGCTCTCTGTCTCTCACACACACATACACACACATATCCATGGGTATATGCAGGTAATGCTCACAAGCATGTGAGAGAGCATACTTACACAATAATAAACTCTCTCTCACACACTCAGACGTAGACAGAAGTCTGTCTGCGGTGATCACAGATCACAATGCTGATAACCTGTCTACCTGTAGCCTGTAGCCACCAATACACACATGGACACACACACCTGACTATCCTCTGACCACATTATATGATTACCTGCCTCCCTCTGTGAAGTGGTCCATTTCATGGTGTATTAAAAGGAAAGGCCAAGTCCCTCATAACTGTCTCTTCTTCACAGTTCCTTGATAATTGATATGTAAGCTAAAGATGAACCTGTGCAGCAGGACACAGATCATAAATACATCAGTTTTGCTCTGTACATAGCTGCTGAAATGTCTAAACTGATACTGACACCTCCAAAGGAACAATTAAGAAGCTAGATATCACATAATTGTTCAACATAAACTACAATCTTAACAACCTTTTGGTGCTTGTGGTTAATGAGTGCCTCATCAAGAATTGTTGTGGTAAAAGTTAATTGATTAGCACATTGGAAAACAATACATTGCACGATAAATTCGTATTCAATAAAAAAATGAAAAAGGACCAACTGTAAATTGCTAGTACATGTGCGCCTTAAATTATTTAATTGTTTTGATCTCCAGCCATGCTATCAAATGTGTGAGGCGTTGCTGAAGCTTCAGCTTAATGCTCACATTCTCACAATGATGTTAGCAGATATGGTGTTAATAATGTTTGCTGTCTAATTTCTAGCATAGTAGAGTGCTAATATTCATTTGTTGGCACCAAAGTACGGTTGAGGCTTGGAAATTGAGGAATGAAAATTGTTTTGCAGATATTTAGTCATCAACAATTATTGGACCCGTTTTCCTATAATCAAGTCTTTAGATAGAAAGTCATGGGATCGCCAAAGCTGTTTAAATGAATCATCAGGGAACATGAATATTTCGCTAGATTTCTGAGCAATCTATTCAATAGTTGTTGAGACATTCGACTCAAAACCACACATTTCAAAATCAACATGGCTCTAGACAAAAAGTGAGGGATAACCAAAGTTAAGACGTAATTCTCAGGGAATACAAAACGCAATTTCTAAGATATTTGGAAACAATCACTGAATTGTTAAGATGTGAATGGCTCACATAACACACACACACACATTTGTTTTAACTTCAAAAAGATGCACAGTCATGAATTGCCTTGTGGTGTACACTGCTAGCTAAAAAAAAAGGTGCGTTCTCTAAAGGTCTTCTGTGCACGTACCCACACAAACACTCACAAACGTGTACACTCACTGTAATGGCGTCCCCAAGGCAAAACAGTGGTCTGGTTGCACATGCGGAATCAATCAGGATTATTACGCATGTGTGCATGCTTGGCTGTGTTAATGCATCTGAATGCTCGTGTGTATGCGAGAAATGTTTCAAATGGTGTGTTACAAATACACACAAACTGGATACATGCGGGTGTGTGTGTGTTCAGTATGTCTTTGTCGGCCGGCCAGTGGTACATGAAGCCGAGCACTTGCAGTCCCCAGAGGAGGCCTTAATGACTCGGGGAGTGGAGGGTGGATGGGTGGTGGCTGTGTGGAGGTCTGGCTGGCTACGGGCCACCGCGGGTCGAGCCAAGCCCAACCTCGGTGTACCCATGGTGGGAACAGCCTGGGGAGCGCATGGGCTCTTGGTCTGGGTCGGCTACAGTCCACACCCCTGATAAGGCTGCAGATAGCATCATAAGGCTGCACTCGAGGCTCTGGGCAATGTGGAGAGAGGTCATAATGGACGGCCAGAGAAGGAGAGAGGGAGTCAGAAGGAAAGAAACTGGGAAAGGTGGAGAGACAGAGAGAGCTGACTTGGCTTCCTGCCAAGGACTGAGGAAAGGAATGAGAGACAGCAAGTGGGGCAAGCAAGTGAGCGAGATAAGGATTTAAAGAGACTAACCATGGGAGACGAAGAAAAATTGAGAAAATGTCTTAAAAAAAAAGACAAAGGCTTTTGGATCAATATATAATAATACCTCCTTTTCATCACCTTGTAGCTTTACATCTTTGCACTACAGTAATTTAAATTATAGAGTTTCAAAATTGTTTTAACTATCTAATTTTCACATTGATCTACAGGTTGAGACAACACACCTCATCATCAAAAAGTAAGGCAACGATTTTCTTTCTTTTTTTTTAAGAATCAAAAATCTCATTAAAAACCAAAAAGCATGCCAGGACAAAAAGAGCAGTCCTCAGATCAGTGCCAGAATGTCTAATAGACAAGACAGGCTCCATCAGGGATTGTGGGGTATGCAGTACGTGTGCTGGGTCACATCCAGCATGCCCATTTAAATGCCACCGGGAAGCAAGAAAACCAAACAAAAACAAGTTTCCACCCTCAGAACACACAGACGTAAATACAATATCTGGAGAAACACATATAATACTCCCTGTAGTGCAGGACCACTTTGTGCCACACATTTCCTTTGTGAGTGTGTGTCCTGTATGCTGTGTCTTTTAGTATACAATAAATACATTTAGTGTATGACTTTTCCTCCCTGTGTACCTTTGGTGACTTCCACATCTTTGCGGTGGCCAGCCAGAGTGCTGAAGACCTTCCTGATCAGCTCCATGTTGTTGAGAAGAGAGTTGAATCCGTTGAAGTAGGAGAAGCTGACCTGGTGAGATGTGGTGCCACCCGCAACCTAAACAAGGGTGGAGACAAGCATTTCAACATGCTATAAGTTCTTATCCAAAAACACAAACACCATCACACTGCAGTCCAAACAGAACATATGCATTTTGACATTTTAAATTAGATATTAAGACAGACTAAAAACATCACACATCACAAAAACTTCCTCAACGTTCCTCCTTACCGACGCTCCACAGGGAGAAGTAAACACGCATCAACCACTACTTTTTCCATCACACAACGAACGCTCTCGAAGACTTTAATTAACCTTCTTTATGAGGTGGAGGAAGTGATAAAGGTAAATGATCAAAAATAGACGCTGGCCTTTAGAGGACATTCCAGAGTGCACACACACTCTTTTATGTGAAGCAGCATCTCGTCTTTATCAAATCAGGCTCTCAAACTCTTCGAGGAGCAGCTCCAAATGCTGCCTGTATACAAATGTGATTTTGAGTACATTTCATAAATGCTGTGGCCAGTTTTTTTAAACTCAAGCCAAAGTATCTGATGAGCCTTGAGGCTTTGCAGCTCTTGAGGGGGAAACGTAGAGCTTCCTTTCACTAGATGGCACTGTTTGCTTTACAGACACACTGGGAACGTTGCTTGCAGCTCACTGAGTTTGAAACAAGGGGGGAAGCTCTGGCTCGGGCGAAACTGCCTTAACAGAGACACACTTTTGTATCTGTTCATATCTATGAGCCTATAGACATGGATCTTCCCACGATATCCAACTCAGAGTCTTTTACAGAGGGGCAGAGGAGAAAAATGTTTGGGTGAATTTGCCATGTTTTGTGAGTGAATTAAAGGTTGCCATTTCACTGTTTCTGTTCTGCCATAATACCGCCTTTAATGTGTCTGCAGTGTTTATGGGTTTTTTGATATGTGTGTGTGTGTGTGTGTGTGTGTGTGTGTGTGTGTGTGTGTGTGTGTGTGTGTGTGTGTGTGTGTGTGTGTGTGTGTGAGAGAGTTTACTAACAGCACACCAAGATGTCTGGTCGGTGAGGTAAACACAGTGGAGAAAATGACAGAGTCTACAAGGTGTTTATGAAATGGGGCAAGACATGGACACAGACGCAAGACTCACACGCGTGCAACACAAACACAAACACACACAAAGAAAAGACAGAAAGAAAATAAAAGACAAACATCTCAAGAGTTCAAAACAAATAAGAGTGCACGTGCACAGCTGCTCCCGCACACACACACACACACACACACAGATGATGGACTGCGGAGCTGCAGTCTCCGTCTATCTCGGTCTCTCTCTTCCCATTCAGCTGGCCTGCTCGGCTTTGACACTGCCAGAGAGGTTAGACTTAATGACACGTTGGGAGAGAGACAGAGACACGGGGGAGTGAGGGAGAGAAAGAGGGGCGGTTTGAGAAAGAGAAGAAATGAAGTGAGGGGGGAAATAAAAGAGAGGACGGATGAGAGGTGACAGAAAAAGGTAGAAGAGGAAGACGAAGAAACGAGAGATGGACAGCTGGAGGGAAAGAGAAAGCCACAGTGTTTGGTTGTGGGGGTGTGAGAGAAAGAAACGAAAGCAGGGAATACAGAAAAAGACAAGCACGAGGTAGTGAGATGGGAAAAAAACAGTCTTGCCTTTTACCCTTTTAAGGAGAATAGAGTCATGTTAGGTCTCTTTCCTTCCTAGCTGGCATTAGCAACTCCATCAGTGGCAAACATCGCTTATGAAGGATGTGGAAGCACATGTAAACATTGTGTTTGTGTAGGAAGTGTGCATCTTTTTACTTTTTGTTATACAAACATTTCTATGCAAACATAGGAATTATATTATATCACAACACATGATGAATATAGAGGTACCTGTAGCAACACAGCTACAAAGTTGAATTAAACGATGACAGTCTTGCAGTAATGAACCAATTAGGTAAATACAAAACCCACAATTTGTACAATATTCTCTTAAGTATCATTACTCCCAGGTGTGGACAACAAATGGAAGAGAGATCCGCAGAGCCAAACAAAAACCCACCGCCACGAGGCATTGCTCCACGAAGGATGTGAGGATGTGTGGCCGGATGGTGACCATGATGTCCCTGAAGTCCAGGGCCGAGATGGAGCCGCTGTGGTCCTGGTCCCGCTGGAAGAAAGCCTGCCGCGCATGTTCCAGCTGCATCTCCTGCGGAAGGGCGTGTGGAGAAGAGTGGAGGGAAGTTAGATCATAGGAGTTAACTCGTATTATTGGACACATATGTTGGTCATACACCTCTTAAAGATGCCTTCATAAATTAAAAATCCACATAAACTCACTCATATAAACACGTTTGTATAAAAACACAGCGTTTTGCTTTGATGGGGGCCCCCCCGGTGCCGTCTCCCCCTCTCAGCTACGGGGGAGCCAGTGTTTGGCCGGGCTTCATGCTCGCCTCCTCTCCCCACAGCGGCTCGCCTACTGTGAGGTGTCGCTTGGGCTTTTCACACCCTCCCCAAATCCCCATTAAACCCACTTGAGGGAAAACGTACAAACGTACACACACACAGACTTGCACACACAGGTAAGACAGCTAATCACCCAACTGCTCACTTTGTCTGTCTTCATGCACACACACACACACAAAGGTCCACGGGGACAACAGCAGGCTGCGGTGGGGACACATCCCATAAGGCCTTTGAAATTAGCAGCCATTATCAGTACCTGCAACCACAAGTCTACAGAGAGAGGCTGCAAACAAACCACCAATGCTTCCTCCATCTCATAACAAATAACTTGGTTACAGTTTAAGACCGGGATATCAGAACAATAATAATCCACAACGAGTCATTGGAAAAAGCTCAAGCCGTAAGCTTAGGAGCAGCGAGCTAAAACTAGTCGCTTTGGCTGTTGACTCACTTCCTACGTGTCATAACCTTTACTCCAAAAACCAATGAGGCAGAAATGTCAAAAGTTATTTTTCTTCAATTGTTATTTATGAGTTTTCTTTGACCAATTAAATGTCAGATTTAAGCTTAATTTATTTTAAAGACGTATTGTATTCAGTCAACAGAAACGTTCATGCAAGAGCTTCCCTTAATTCCCCACATATATGTAGAGCTGAAATGAATATGGTCAATTATTTAATTGACGGAAAATTTACAAAAATTAATAGATCCAGTGTTTTTAGCTTCTCAAAGATGAAGGTTTGTGGCTTTTCTTTTTGTTCTGTAGTAGTGACTGATGTATGGATAAAGCAAGCCATTTGAATGAAAACAAAATGAGAAGTTGAAAAGGCAATTTCTCTTTTTTTCTGGTATCTTATAGACCAAATTATGTATTGAATAATTGTGAAAAACTATGAATATCTCTCTATTTAAAAAGTCTAATTTCCACGTATTATGTTATATTGACTGATTTTATAACACACACACTTAGAAATGTCCTAAAACAAAAAAAGATATACATCTAATAGGAATATATATAATGTCAAAATTTGAGTAAATGCAGAAACATTCAAATACAAATATAAATGCCTTTCTCAAAGTAAGTACCGGCAGTACATTAAGTAACTTAATAATTCAGTTCAGAATAAACTATTATTATACATTTGTCCAAGAATAATGGAGAGCCACACACGTCGGACGAAAGTGCTGAAAGGAGGATTACATCTTGAACATTCATGGCATTATTCAATTGATTGATTCAAATGTTTTTGTTATAAAAGGGACTATAAAAAGTGGTATTACCACAACAAAAAACCCTATGAGGCTATGACTTATTGTTGTGTTGAATTTGAGTGATATTTCACTGACAGCATAACTGATCGAACTCTAAATTTGCGGCACCCAAGAGAAACGACTGGGGAAGAGTGACATTTACACAAAGCTGAGTGGAGACCGGAGGGGAGTAAGAATAGACATCGCAACAAAAGAGCCAAGATTTGCAAAACAGCAAATGTAGCAGCCATGTGTCAGTATCACCTATGAGCACAGCAGGGGCTCAGCAGAGTGTATAAGTAAGTGGAAGGCGAGGAAACGAAGAGAGATTGACACATGTAAACACTCTCGAGATAAATAAGGTGAGATGTTTTGGTGTCAGCATCCTGAGAGTCGTGACTCACTTCTCCGGTCGGTTGCGAGTAGGTCAAAACACTTTGCTTTGGAATAAACTGGGACGAGGGTTGGAAGAGGAGATCTGAATATTGGGATTAAAAGCAAAACAAAAAAATAAAAGTGAAAATGTTCTGCTTGCATGCAAAAATGAGGGTAATCTTTGTTTCCATCTGTAAAAGAGAGGGGAAATCTTGTTTCTCTGGACAAGTCAAAAGTCTGAAAAGCCACACACCAACCACACAGAGCAACAAAACAACTGTGGTCCAGGGAAGGAGCAGTTTATAGTTTCAGCCTCTTAAAACCTTAGCTTGAGAGTTTCAGGGACATGGTTTTTATTTGGGAGGCAGGAGACATAAAGCTCTGGGCTTAGGACAGCCTACCAGAGACCGCTGAGGCATTTGCAGTCACTTTAATTGTGCTTGGAGGAGAATAAAAACACATGACAGGCCATCTCTGTTTGTTTTCAATGGCTGCGATACTTTCCGTCTCCCATCACAACTTAAAAAATAGATATGAGTGGAGCAGGGTGGTATATATATATATATCTTTTCTAATATTTACTTGTCATCAGCACAGGGCTCAAACTATACAAGGAGAAGCACAACTGCCCATTTACATGTGCCAGTGAGTCCTCTAGTGATGTTAAGGGCTGCCACTGATTCTTTCGAGAGTCAAACATATAATTGGGACTTTTAAAATGTGAGCAATGCCAACAATTCCCTTTTTCTTTTTTTTTGAGTGCTTAGGAAATTGGGACATGTGGAGTCCCCTCCGTGTAAATCAAGCCCTTTACTTGCCAGGATTTATAATATGGGCTACTATGTGCCACTTCTCTGGACAACGGTAATACCATTGCCAGAGACAACACCACGCTGACAGTGCGAGCTAAGCCTTGGCCGGCGTCCACGCGTGAGATGGGAAGAATGCATGTAATTGGTGAGAATCTCTGGCTTCCATCAAGACAGTAATTGGCCAGAGAGAGCCCTTGTGAGAAATATGCGGCGCAAACGTTTTCCCCGATAATCCCATCTTGTGAGCATCTGGCAGTGGCGTGGTTACAATGGCAGAAAAACACAATAAACACATGCATGTATGGCAGGATGAGGAGGAAATAAAGGATGGGAACATTGTTATGGGGGGGAAAGCTGCGTGAAAAAAACCCCTGTCAAATATTCAGAATATGGTGTGTTGGTTTTCACAATTCTACAACTTTTATAGCTGCACAGGATACTTCTTCTTCCCAGCTGACATTTACAAATGCTTTTACAAAAGTATCATAACAGCCTCAGGTATTAGTGCAATCACAAAGTATGTTGTAATTGCACAGATTTAAATTCTGGTTCAGGAAATGTTGAACCAGAATCAATTTTCCTAATTGCCCCGTCATCAATCACTGGAGTCACTGATAACACTGAGTCAGCCAATACCTGCATTTCACCTGTGCAGAAGTACTGTAATTGCAGTCAGTTATCACAATGATATTACTGTAAAAAAAAAAATGGAATATGCATGAATGCATCAAAATAAAATATTTATCATATAATAAAAACAATTTAAGCAAGTAAAAAATGAAAAGCAGTACGATATGTACTTGAAATAAATGCAGTGTTGAATATGAAATAGCTTGACATTTTAATTGAATATCGATTTCTTGATTCATTAAGGCAGGGGTTCCCAAACTTTTCAGCCCGCGACCCCCAAAATAACAGTGCCAGAGACTGGCGAACCCCTGTTGACGGGGGGAGGGTGCTAGAGAATTAATTTGTTTGTAAAGTTTGAGAAACAGAGCCTCGTTGCGGGGAAATTATACAGATGGCTAGTCCGCCCCTGAAAATGTCTATGCAAACGTTATTATTAATAATAATTAAAAATTAAAAATTATAAAAAAAATTAATCAATTTTTTTTAATAAATCTTTTATTTTTTTTATTTTCCATTTTTATTTTGTAATCACCTCGCGACCCCCACTTTGTGAACCCCTGCATTAAGGTATAAATCAAAAGCTGTGAGATATTATCAAATACAGAGAGCAGAAAATGTGAATTTCATATTGAGCAATGAGTGCAACTGGCTGCAGGCTTGCTGCTGTGAGGAGCTGCAAACCACTGAGTGACTGGGGAAGGAGTGGGGGGGGGACTGGGCACGCTGTCAATGCAAAGTACAGCGTCTACTGGCCACAGCACCACAGACTTGTATGCACGCACACACAAACACACAAAAAACCTCACAAACATCGACATAAACACAGATGCACAAAGCATGCGAGCTCACACTATGGTAAGGAGATAAGCAAGGTAAACATATAGAATCACACGTATGTAAAGACACACATGCATGCACAAAGACGCAAACACATAACAATGTCCCAATATCCTTGTGCTGCTGCCCACTGTGTGTAAGCCATCTGGTCTAAGTTAAGTGTAATATAAAAAGCTCATTCAGATACATGGTGAGTGTGGATGCAAACTTGGCACTGCTCAGGCGCTCTTTCCCCCCCCCCACCACCACCTCTCTCTGCTTAGGCCTGATTTAAGTCTAGACATCTTATTGGAAAATGGCTCACACACCACAAATACACAAGGAATATTCCAGCTTTACTATTTATGGAGGTAGAACTGCGTCTCTACCTGCTTAAGAGTAGAAGTAAAGCTAGGTGTACGTCAGTTAATGAAAAACAAATGCCAAAAATGTCCCAAATATATAACCTCAGTGTTTCATTAATGAATAATCTGCTCAATATGGAGCGTTGTGTTTGAGAGGAGTTGGGAAAAACTGGGGTTTCTGGCCAAGGTTAGACACATATCCAACAATAAAGTTAGATGACATGATTGTAAAAATAATATATGGGGATAAGGCCATGTTTACAGGCACGTTCATTGGTTGAAACTGATTTCAGGTTTCTAATATCTTCTTGAACATCAAATTCAAGGATTTTTGAAAAGGCCCATGTAACGACACAAAATGGCATTGCTTGAGAGACAGATCAAGTTGAATTATCGTTATAACACCTAAGACCTTTACATATGAAAACCATTCTTCTACCAGTTTCAAGGACCAATATCTATGTACACTATATCTATTTATACCATTAAATTCAAGGGCTTGTCATGAGATTTGTTGACTATCATTTATTGGTCACGAGGCAGTGTGCATAACTAAACAGACAGAAGACACAGGAAGAGGAAAGCAAAGAATGGGATTTCATGTCATCAGGGTGGGTAAAAGAAGGTCATGTGAGCGTTGAGGAGAGCAGGTGATCAACATGAAACCTACCAGGAGAAACTGGGTGAACTCTCCGTAGCTTAGCCGTTTCGCCCTCTCGCTGCCAAAGTGCATCCGGATGAAATCACAGTCCCAGTTAAAGGGGATGTGCTGGTGGATGGTGGTCTGGCTGAAGACCTCCTTCACATCCTCTGAGACAGACAAAAAGAGAAAATATGCTGCTTTAATAACAATCCAGTCCACTGATGAAAAGTAGCATTTGACAGCCCTATTTCCATATGTGAAAACTCTCCATTTACATCAGGGGACTTTAAGTGTTTTGTTCTGTCAATCAAAAATAGTTAGTAAAAAAATAGTTGGCAATTATGTTAATGTCTTAACGCTGCAGCTCTTATATAAGTTACATAACATGCACTCAAGTAGTACTTCAAAATTGTAGTTAAAACAATTACAGTACTTGAATCTTTCATGTAGTTAAAAGTTACCACTGATTAACTGTGTTTATGTATGTAACGTATAGACAATTTAACCAAAAATATACAAGCAATGAGGCAACAAATCAACTATACCTTTCCTCCAAATAGTACAAATTATTTACAACAAAAGACACTTCTGTTTAGGTTTTACAGATTACACCTAATTGTTAAGGCTAATGACTATACATTAACCATGTATAAGGTTTTCACCTTCATTAAAATCATATGTTATATGTTTTTGTAACGAACAATTATCAAAAATACTACTTCCTCTTTTAGTTAGCTCTAATAAAGACATAAATATGTGTGCACAAAGCCTTGTGAGTCAGATCTTAACAAACAGCATGTGTTTCCTATCTTGCGGTTAACATTACTAATTATTTGATTTAGGAAAGAAAAAAATTCCGTGACTGTTTGTGACAAAATGTCAACGTCAATCTCCAGAACACAATTCTGCTCTGATTGAGACTTAAGTCCCTCAACTCTAAATCAGTGTTGAATGCCACATGGCAGAAGTAAAGGCTGTGTATTCAGAGGAAAGCCTTTTCTTCTCACTCATGTTCCTCTGCCTGAACCCTCTAAGCCTCTGCAGCCAGCGGAGTGGAGAGACACTGAACATGAGTCCTAAATTACAGCCTTACTAAAGAAACAAAAACAAACCAATAGAGCGACCTGTTTCTTATTACCAAACAAGCCACGCAGAACGAGTGCAGAAAGGAAAAGGTGGAAAGAAACAATTTGTTTTATAAAGACACGGAGAGGGGAAAAGAGAGAAAGAGAAAGGTGATATTTACTTCAGCTCAGCCTTACCTTCTGAAGGAAGACAGTTTTTTTACACTTTAATGAGGCAATAAATATACAGTCTTTAACTCTTTAAAAAAGAGGCCGCTTCAGTGCCCGCCGTTTATATTATCAGCTTTTATAGACCTGTCAACACTCAGTCCTCTTTAGTTTTTTCCTTTTTTTTGACTTTCTGGCTGACACAACTGCGTTTCACATGCCATGTTACATTGCAATTTTCATTAACTCGAAATTCCATCAAATTACACATTTAGTTTAGGTGCTAAGAACTCAGAGCCCCGTGTGTGCTTAGCAGAAATAACTCAGGTTATTATCAAATAAAATGGATTTATAGAAATATTAAATAAAAAAGAAATCAAAGTTCAGACATTTATTGAGTTGGAAAACAAACGTGTCTTTAATGCGACGTAAGCTTTAGCTATTAATGTTTTTTAGAAGGTAATAAAGAAGGCAGTTCTTTATGTTGTGCCTTGGTGAGGCTCTTGAATCTGAAGAGAGGAAAAGGGAGCAGAGGAGAAAAAAGGGGAATTCTGTAATGTATCACAATAAAGCAACTTTGACAAGTCTATAATCTCAGTCACAAGTTGTTTGCTTTTGGTGAAATGGTAGCCGATGCAAGTGGCAGACACTGCAGTCAGTGTTTGTGTATGACATGATGTGTGGTATGTTTTTCATGCAATTTTCCACTTGTATGCGAGTCTCATAACTCACAGGCATTGGGATATTCATTAACCTTTGAGAGACGCAGAAAAACAGCAGACCTTTTAATTGCCACCAAGACAACGTCACTCTAATTGATCCTTTTAAATATGAAAATTTACATATGTGCATATATAATCACCCGCGATGATCTTGCACCCTGTCGACAGCAACAATTAAAATGAAATTCACTTACTCTTCCCTGTTTACGAGCGGGATGTGTGCGCTGCATTTCAAATCAAGCCTAATGTGCTAACGCCTCGCACACCTACAGAAGGCTGGCATTAGACTTGTTTAAATCAATTAGGCAAATGTGAAATAAGCAACGAGTACAAATGTCTTCCCTTTTCACCTCCAAGCTTCCAGGCATCAGAGTAATGATGCCAATCATTTACACACACACACACACACACACACACACACACACACACACACACACACACACACACACACACACACACACACACACACACACACACACACACA